TAAAATGATTTAAAATACCAAAGGGAGGTACTTTTGATTTTTTTTTTTTCATTTTTCTTTTTTCTTAAAAGATTCAGACTGTATTTATTATAAATGTGCTATATTTATTTGTAATATATTAACTTACTATCCTTTGCCAGTTAGATTATACCGTGTTTCTCATATAATAAGGCTGGGTCTTATTTTTTTTGAGCCCTGAAAAAATGGCTAGGGCGTCTTTTCGGGGGTGACTTAATTCCACCCCCCTTGCATCTTTGGGTGGGCGGGCGGCAACGGCTTAGATGTTGACCTCAGCGTTGGTGGGGCACTTCGTATTGGGGTCAATGCAGGCAGCACCATATCCGGGTGTGCAACAAAAGTACTTCCTAACGGCAAGCCCCCCCACCATTCCTCCCCATTTTGCATGTTTTAATATAGGCCTTAATTTGGGGGGAGGGGCTTAATTTCATTTCATGCCTATAAAACATGCTGGCACTTCCTATTGGGGGAGGCCATATTGTTGGAGAAACAGGGTATTTATATTGTCATTAACTTGCATTTTAATACCTTGTTCATAATTTACCGTTTTAGAGTAATTACTTTGTTGCTTAAGTCACATGAAACAGTGGAAAGCATTGTATTGCTGTAGGTGGATGAAAATCAGTTCAGTACAACTTAGGAGAAGGGAAACCACTATAATGGGTATAATGGGGAAGGTACCTAGAAAGAGAGCCTGATGTGCGGTTTCTAATTTATAGTTGTTACTGAGAAGTATGTCCTGATTTTTATATTAGTTTAGAAAACACCCAGTTTTGAGGATGAATAAAATCTCCATTGCTAAATGATAACCCCTGAAGCTTGCTTTCTAAATTGATCTAGAATTAATTTTCAGAATTCTGGTATTCTTAATGCTGCTTTCTAGTGGTACTGCTTAAATATTTAGACCAAAAATCTTTTTTCTTCCTTGAAGAGAAGAGGCAGTTTAAGAACTTCATTTATAGTTAGGGTGTGTGTGTGTGTTTTCAGAGTTGTGAGGGGGGTTTAACAAAAAAAAAAAAAATCAGGCTCACATTCTTATTCACAGCAGCAATACGAGTAAAACACTTTTACCAAACAGCATAACAGAAGTTCAAATATTTATATCTCAGGACAACAGTGAACAGTTTCCCCTGTTTCTTCATCAGGTTCTTGACCAAGCGAGAGCAAAAACTGATGCAGCGGCGTCAGTATGCAGAGGAGCTGCTGCAATGGAAGCAACGTTTAGATGCAGAAGAAGCAGAGATACGTCAGATAGAAAAACAAGCGCTAGCTGCTTGGGAAAAAGAGCTGCATAAAACAAAAGCAAATAAAAAAGGAGCAGGAGATCAGAAATCTGATCAAAAAGGTAGAAACTATAACCTTTAACTTGTTGGAACTCTAATTAAAAGTTGGCAAACTTTTTCTTTAAAGGGCCAGATTCCCTTCCCCTACCTCTGCTTTCATGGGCAGAGCAGCCATTGGAAAGCGTGGTCCAATGATAGGCTTCTGCTACTGCCTAGGACACTCCATCCTCATTCCCATCCCTCATCGTGGGAGTTCAGCTGAGGCTTGGTTCCAGCAATCTGCTGCCCATCTGCCCATCTATTCTTAGCCTGTGGGCTATAAAAAGAAGTGGCAGGCCAGATTTGGCCCGTGGTTTGTTGACCCCTGCTCTAAATCTTGCTGTTAGAAATGTACTGATTATGTGGGAAAGGTTTGGCTTATCCAAGCTATTTTGTTCAACAAAAGTACCTGTGCAAAGTAAGATTACATTTCAGAAAAAAAGTTTTCATGTATTCAGGACCTGATTGTGTTCCAAAAGCTGCATTCAAACATCATACATATTGCAAATTTTTAACTGATTGTTTTTGGCTTAGTATTTTTGTCAAACAGTTCTACTTAAAAGAGAGATAAATTTTCAATATAAAAAGCAAATGAATAATAGGTAAAATAATATAGAAATGTGTTTCTCTAAAATTTTCAATATATTCTGATACATGATCATATGAAAAAGTAAAGTTTTTTTCTTAACATCTCAACTGTTAGATGATCATCTTTGCAGTGGAATGATTGAAGTCCAGTTGTTTGGAGAACTTTATCTAATCTCAGGGACTTCTATAACCTTTCTGAATATATTTTGAAGGCCTCAGAAAACTTTTTCAATCTAAACACAAACTTCATCAAAAAAAAAAACCTGCAAATCAAACTAAATATCTGAGGTTTAAATAAAACAGGCTCTGCCCAATTATTCTCTAACAATGTTCTAATTATTTGCATGTAGGAGTGTGTCTATTTTTTCCAGAGGTGAAATTTGCTTTTGTGTTTATTTATACCGGGGTCTTCAAATTGACAGCTTTAAGATTTGTGGACTTCAACTCCCAGAATTCTTCCTCCAGTCATGTTAGCTCAGGAATTCTGGGGGTTGAAATCCACAAGTCTTAAAACTGCCAAGTTTGAAGACCCTTGATTTATACAATGGACTGCAAAATGTAAGTAGTGGATGATATTTGTTATCCCCTTTATCAATTGTGGAAATTAAGATAAAATACTGTATGTTAAAATAAATTTAAAAAGTCAAAAAGTTCAGTGGTGTGTTCTTAATTTTTAGTATGACTCTAAGCCTGTATAAAAACATTTTTAAAAGCTTGTCAGTGAAATACTGGGAGTTTTTGAACAATTGATCATTTTCCATTTTTTCTCTCTCAGAGACAGCCAGTGAAGGAGACTCTCCAATGCCACCTTGTTCTCGTCTAAATAGTGAAAGCTCAGTCCCAGAAGAATTGAGCAATCTAGTTGTTGAGTCCATTCCATCAGAGGTTTCTGAGATTAAAGGCGAGCCTGGAAGCCTAGATCACACAGTAACTGAAGAAATAGTTTATACACAAGAACCAGAATCTGCTGTTTCTCCTGGAAAACCTGTAAGTGAATTTGATTACCCATTTGACATTCTTTGAAATTAAGTTAAAGGCTTAACTTGAATATTATATTACATTAGTAAATAAGTCAGATAAAATGTCTGAAGATACCCTTTCTTTAAAAAGGGGGGGAAAGTATTTATTCTTAATTCCAGCCACTTCTAGAACACATAAAAGTAATGTTCAATGTATATTTATTGTAACACAACATGCTAATTTTGTTAAAAATGTATTAAATATACTGTTAAAAGGTGGAAGAGATGCACTCACAAGTCACACTTTTTCTAATTTACTTCTCAGCTTCACTGAATGAGGGCTAAACGAGTTTTCTCTGTTGTTAGGTAAATAGGAAAGGTGACCTAATCTCCGATTACCATGTTACATAATCTATATTATTTAAGACTGGATGGATAAAGGAGATGAAATTATTTCTTACACAACACTGAACCTGACTAAAAGGATGAAAAGGTGGCGACTTTTGTCACTAGCAGGACTAGACAACATATTGTGAATGGGATCATCCTAAACTACCGTATATGCCGGCGTATAAGACGACCCGGCGTATAAGACGACCCCCCAACATTTCCACTCAAAATATAGTTTGTTATATACTCGCCCCCTCTTCCGCACACCTTCCACTTTTGCACTTTTTTTTTTTTTTTTGAGGCACTTTTGTCTACCGTGGAAACGAATCCCGTGAA